AGGGAGTCTGCTTCTCCCTCTGACCCTCCACCCTCTCATGTGCTCTCTCTTTCTCTCATTCTCGCTCTCTCAAATGAATAAATAAATAAAATCTTAAAAAAAAATGGTTAAAAGGTAAGTTTTATGTTATATAGTTTATTCCAATTAAAAAAAAAAACTATTTTGGAGATGATAGTTACGCTGTGAATCAGCAGCCAAGTGAACAGCATGCTGACACAGCCCACTTTTCATCGGCCCCAATTCACTCTATGAATGAAGTATTAGCATGTTCCCTCCCATAATGCTCTGCTTCATTCTCCATCCAAATTTAGTTAAGGAAATCAAGAAACAAACCTTCAGAAATAGCTTATGCATCTTCGAGAGATCTTCATACGTTAGTATAATTTTCAACCAAATAATAATTGATGGTTTTTCCATGAGACTCAAACTCGCCTTTCTGAAATAGGAACCTTGCCTATTGGGGATGATGAGTAGGGGGCGTTGGTTTTCAGCTTTGCGCAGTGGCAGTATCGTAGCCAATGAGGTTTATCCGAGGCGCGATTATTGCTAATTGAAAACTTTTCCCAATACCCCGCCGTGACGACTTGAAATATAGTCGGCACTGGCAATTTTTGACAGTCTCTACGGAGACTGATGTTATCTCAGTTCAAAAAAAAAGATATTTCCTTTAGTTTTGTTTATATAACTTGTAAATAAGTATTAACTGGATTCCGGAATCGCTACTGACAGATTTCTTTGAAAGAATCATTCTTTGAAAGAATCATGCTTTTCTTTGTTGAGAGTCAGGCTTAGGTAACAGGTTTTTTTCCATAGTGCGTTTTTTTCTATTGCTTTTTTTCCCGGTAACGTTAAAACGGTGTACAAATATACCTGCTGTCGGTGACCTTTGTCCACTTGGTCCTTTGCACCTCCGCCCGCAGCTACTCGTCTTCCTTCGGAGGGTTCACTCTCGCTTTCCCTGCTTTCCCGCCGCTCAGGTTTTTTAGTCAAAATTCAAGTGTACACTGGTCATCTCTGTGATGTCATCAAGATTTGCGTAAGATTACCCAGCATGCCCAGCGAATGTACTCTCGTTTCCAAAATCTGAATGTTCGACTCGAGATGATCCAACAGCAAGAAGCCTCCCGTGCAGACGGATCTTAAATATAACGGCTGGAAGCAGAACGCGTCATATCCACGAACTCGTTGGCAGTCGCTCACCCTCACTGAAAAGGTAGTTGTCATACGTGGGGGAGCCGGGTGCGTGCTCACGTTTTTCAGCTTTGCGCAGTGGCAGTATCGTAGCCAATGAGGTTTATCCGAGGCGCGATTATTGCTAATTGAAAACTTTTCCCAATACCCCGCCATGACGACTTGAAATATAGTCGGCATTGGCAATTTTTGACAGTCTCTACGGAGACTGAGTTTCGTTGTGTTAAAAAGAAAGTGTTATCTGTGGAGTACCACTTGTTAGTGTTTTTTTTCTCCGTGTTTTTTATTGAGTTGTTTTTGGTTTTCTTTGGGTATAGGCTGGGTTTAATTTAGGTGCGAAGCTCTTGGGGGGGGGCGGTTCTCTTAAAACATGAAAAGGATCTAGTCCTCCGTTGCAAAAATGGGAGAAAATATGCAGGTTTTTCTATCCAAATGGTTTTTAAAGCAACCGGGAGACAAACGGGCACATAGTACACTTAGTTACTCAGGTTCCATTGTGGAGTACCAGGCAGAGCTGTGCTTGAAACCAAGTCCCCTTATCTCTAGCACCGGCTGCCTCTAGTCTCGTTCTATGTTAAGCAGGCCATGAGTGTCCCCGGACAGAAGCCTTCGGAAGTCCTACGCTTGAGCATGGCAGATCCAGCTGAACATGCATGGGCCACCACCCATCAAACACTTCTCTGGTCTGTAAACAAAAGGATGTGGTTATTCAGGGCGAAGGTGGTGAACCGGCATCTATTGCTTCAAGGCGGCCCTGGGGAAAGCCGCGCTGGCGGTAAATTAGACCCGGTCCCTGCTTCAGGGAGCTCACAGTAT